GATTTTTTTTTTGTGGTGGTGGTTTAAATAGCATGCTGCTAACATTACAATTTTTGAAGTTGCATTCTGTTCCATTCCTAGCCATTTTAGAAGGTAAGAACACACTCCGCAGAAAATGTGTCTCATCAAGTGAATTTTAAACCAGCCTAAGTGCTGAAAACAGCCTAAAATGCTTGGTTGTTGTCAGCGTGTTACTCTGATGTTTGTTTAACTGGTTGAAAAGTCAGGTAGAAGAGTATGGAACGCAACATGATATGATAGAGCTTGAATCTGTGTTGTGTTTATGTGCATTGTTTGTTTATGTTGTGCAAAGGTCTGTATGCATGAGTGGGTCTATGCAGATAATCATGAGGATGGGTCTTTGTATATTAGGTGTGTGCATTCATCATATGCATAGAAAAGTGAGTGCCTACTTCACACATACAGTAGGTGGGAAACAAACATTTGTATGAGTTGTTATAGTTCCTATCTATACCGTTATGCATCTCATTGACTGTGCATATCATGTGCCGGACGTGTGCTGCTCTCTGTCTAATCCCTGTTGGAAAAAAACTCACCCTTGAAAGAATAGGAATGTGAGAGAGGAGAGGTCAGTCCCAGACACAGCACTGCTCTAATTCATTCTACACTGTATGACAGAATCTTTCCCACTATAGCACAGAGCAACACAATACTGACCTCTACAATGAACTTGTGCTAATGTACGACACGACATGCAAAACTACATTACTGCACAATGCTTTATGTTATTAGTGATACTTACTAATTGCTATTGCTCATACTTGGTTATTTATTTCCATAGGATGTTACATTTGATGCATGCAGAACTCATCCTGCATGCTTTATACTATTAAATGATGTGGCTTGTTGCAGAGACGTTTACTGTTACTTTGAGTAGCCCAGTAGCTGAGCTGAATTCAGATGATTTTCTCTTAGAATTATGATGCCAGGTTTTTCATGAATAACTCATTCCTGTTCTAAAAATGTAAAAAAGCAACAGGTGCAATAAATAATTTTAAATAAGTGCATATTGTCTAAATTGTCTAAAAGTGTGCCGCTGTCACTTGCAGACTGGTCAGGTCATGGGACAGGTCATATTTTTCAGGATAAAAGGGGAAGACAAGGACATGCAGCACATTTGACCAATATGCAGTACCAGTTGATTTTTTTTTCTCAGTATTGAGTAAATTGAAATCTGAGTGCTTAAAAATGTGAGCAATATAATGCCATATTCTTATAGCCTATGCCTATCAAAGGGCCAAATTGCTACTCATATTTATAAGCAATTTTTAAAAGAATGTACTCACCCCTCAGGCTATTGATGAGTTTGTTTCTTCATCGGAACAGATAACATTACATCACTTGCTCACCAGTGAATCCTCTGTAGTAAATGAGTGCCGTCAGAATGAGAGTCCAAACAGCTGATGAAACATCACAATAATCCATAAGTAATCGTCTTGTGAAGCAAAATGCTGCTAAATTATGAGTCCTCTATCCATAATCAGCTGTTTGAACTCTCATTTTGGCAGCACCAATTCACTGCAGAGGATCCATTGGTGAGCAGGAGATGGTCTGAGGGTGAGTACATTTTCAGCACTTTTTCATTTTGGGTGAACTATTCATTTCATGATAATTTTTTGAATTTTATAATGTTAATAATCCACTTACAGTAAGTGGACATGGAAACACTGCAGCATGACAATTTGTGTTTTTTATGAACCTTTGTTCAGGGTTAATCATTCTTTCATTTGTGTGTATGTGTGCTTTTCAGTCATAATGAGAGCACTGTGAAGTTGCAGAGGTTTTCAAACAGTGACAACTATTGTCTGATTCTGCCTCCGAATCTCAAATCTGCAATCGCCGCCATCACGTACATGGCTGAACAATTGAAGAAACAGGATGTGGACGATACCGTAAGTCTATGAACAATCACACACACCATGCAGACACATGCACACAAACCACACACATTTTCATTCACTTTCCTTCTCTGTTTTTCCACACATACTCACAGATACACAAAGAAACTTTTATCTAAGGCTCTTCCTCTCGGTCTGTCCCTGATCCTCATGATTATTCATAAATTGACAATACACATCCTCCTGTGTTAGTGAGATAAACATATCCCATTGTTTCTGTGTTTGATGTGTGCACGTGTAGATGACAGATGACTGGCAGTACATAGCTGTGGTTTTGGATCGTCTCTTCCTTTGGCTCTTTGTCATCATTACTACCCTGGGCACACTGGCCATGTTTCTGGATGCCAGTTTTAACTACACTCCTGACCAGCCTTTTCCATGAGTACATCCCTTAAACGACAAGCACACAGCTACTGCACAGCTCCTGAACATAAAACCTAGTAAGACTGTAGTTTATGTGACTCTAGGGGGCACCAGAAAATCATATTTCTTTCTTTCTTTTTGTTGATATGTTTCCATGACAATGTTATTTTCAAGCTCTTTTTAGTTCATCAACTATGCTTATAATCATGCATTTGCTCTTTACCTGTCATTTATTACATACTGTATTAGGTCACTATATTTAATAAAACTTTAAGAATAATTATTTTACTTCTTAAGTAAGATATTAAAAAAGTGTTCTTGTCGTAGTCTGGATTACATGTTTTCTTAACTTTTTCATTGATTCAGTGTTCATAAAACAGGGAGAGCATGTAAATCGTTGCCTTTATTTAATTGTTTGCTTATTTTGAAGTTATTTTCAATGAAAAATTGGGCATCTCTAATGCCCTAGAGAATATATCATAAAGATTATAATCACATGCATTCAGCATAATCTAAACGGCCATATTTCCCTCCTTGTTTGCAGCTCTTTTCTGTCTGCCAGCAGTGGTTTGTTAAATCCTTCCTGGATCTGGCTTGTCACTGAACCATTGGGATATAAAGTCTGACAAGCATGCTGTAACTCCATTCTTAGCCAGTCTAGCTATGGTAAAGTTAATGAACTGATGACCAATCAATTATAAACAACATTACCTGACATTTTTCTGGCTGGCACACCTCTTTTTTTCAGCCAGTGATTCGAACATTAACTAACATTATGTTGTCCATTTATTATTATTGTGATGAACCACTTACTCTTGGCTAAAACTTAACAAATCTGAATAAACAGGCAGAGCCAAACTCGTGGCTCGTGTTTAGCCTAAATTCCTGGTTCATGATTACCTTACAGCAGCTTTTATTAGGTTAACATTAAGTTATTTGGATTTACCTGACCAATTTTATGCTAGTTTGCTAATAGTTTGTGTTGGATCATTTACTGTAGCATGAAATTAAAGTTATTATTTTTCTTTTATTGAGTCATGGAAGTCTTTAAAGTCAGCATGAAAACAAAATGAACATTACTATATTTTTTCTATACGTTTCTGGTCTTGGTGCACTTTATTCCTCAAGACAAATTACAACATATTTTTGATCATTTAAATGCAGTCTTTGTAAGCACAAAAACACACAAAAAAATGTTTTTTGTTATGTTTAGTTAAAAGTTATTATCAGTTGAAAAAAGACGAATTCCTTCAAATTCCTAGATTACATCAGTTTGGCCTGTGTGCCTACATTTCTGTGAAGGCACATAGTTGCATAAGAAGTAAAAGAAAGCGGTAAGAAATAATGAAATAAGAAAAGCTCATTAGCCGAGTCACCGCTTTTGAGGGGAAACCAGAGGCCTGTCTGTTTTATTGCTAACGGTTCAGTGGGTTTCTAAGGAGGCTTACACCAGTTTAATCACTGTTTTTTTCACTGTCTATAAACTTCAAAAGAAGCCTTGGAGCCAGCCAAAAGAAAAGCCATGAAGGGAGTTTCTGTTCTTCTTGGGGCTGATTTAGCACTGTCTGTTCCCCCTTTACGGAGTGTTGTCTGTTTACTGGAACTAGGTGGGGACAGAAGCTTTGAAAAAATTTTAACGTTTCTTTTGTTTGTCAAGACTACTTGGCCCAGTGCTCAGGAGCCAGCCAATAGGGTGACCGATAAATCACGTTACCAGGGTTGACTGGGGTAGTGTGTGCTAATGTCAAGATGTTACTGAAGCAAAGACATTCCTTCTACTGTATCTTCCAACTGTTGTTCCCTCTCCACACATTCTCTTCTCTAAGAATTCTGAGAACAAGATTGTGACTTTTCGGTTAACTCTTTGTTTAAATCCTATTTGTTAAAACCCTTTAAATGAAACTATCAACCAAAAACATCAGGGTGTCAGACATAGACACTTGCTGGAGTGAAAAACATTTTCCTTTTGAATAGCATTATTGCTTCCGCCCTATTTTTCTCAGGTTATAGATATTTCCTTTTTACCTTTGTGGGATCATTGTAACATTGGCGCCAACTCTACTGCAGACAATAGTTGATAGTGTTCCAGATTTTTTTTCCCCTTTCACTGGAAGTGCAGAGGTCACCTGATGGAATGGTTAGACATGACAAACGTGTCCTCATGAAATGGATAAGATGAAAGTTGAGGTCCTGAGACTGGATAGGCAATAGCAGTGGACTGAATTGAATGTGAAACTTTTTATAAGCAAATATAAGCATATTTATAAGCATATATAAGTAAACAAACAAAAATGGAAGGTTTTTTAAATCTGTCCATGTAAATTAAGCATGCAAAATAATAATAATAATAGGCTTAATTGCTATAATTAGGCTAAGAACAACAATAGTGTTTGTTTTATGCAACCCCGTTTCTGCCAACTGAAATCATAATTAACTTTTTTGTCATAATTTCGACTTTTTATTTATTAACTGACACGTAGTATCTCATAATTTAGACGTTCATGTCATACTTATGATTTACCATGATTGTTTTTTGGTGAAAGCGGGTTTCCTTCTTAAAAACACTTGTCTAGAAGAATATGTTACAGAGAAAATGTAAACTTAAACAAGTTTTCTAACCGATATTTTGTGTAGGATAACCAAAATGTAAAACTTAAGTGAAGATGATGTGGGCGATTCTATGTTGTGTGACGTCACGACCTCTCATTCCCCCAAGACTACACTTCGGCGTCTGTATTTTACTCAGCACTTCGACTGGCAAACACCGCGAGCTGATTGACAGACTGCTGTTTTTCCTCGGTGAGTTGGTCACTTTCTCAACTTCATCGACAGTTTTTTTCGGAGCGGTTCTTCAGAGAGTGACAGGAGCGGTGAGCGGAGTCGGACGGAGTTTAGTGCCAACTGTTGCTCAGGTTGCCATTAAGTGTCAAAAATATGGCAAACTCGGGCGTTCAGTTGCTTGGATTTGGTCTCTCTCTGACTGGCATCGTTGGACTGATCGTGGGCACCATCCTCCCGCAGTGGAAGATGTCCGCGTACGTAGGGGACAGTATTATCACGCGCGTACGTGGGGGACAGTATTATCACGGCAGTGGCCACTTACCAGGGACTGTGGATGTCCTGCGCGTTTCAGAGCACCGGACAGCTTCAGTGCAAAATCTACGACTCCATTCTGCAATTAGACAGTGAGTGTCTTATCTATCTATCAGAATGTCTGTCTGGTCTTTCTTTTAAAAAAATGAAAAATAGAGAAATTGATAGAAAAGCTGTCTAATGTTTTTTTCACACTCCAGTGAGCATGTTTTTTCTCTTACAGTATTTATTTTAATGACCTGTGATATAGAATGTAGAAAATCCCAATGGTTGATTTAAAAACACACTACTAAATCACAAATTTGATCCATTTTGTACATAAATTGATCAAGTGCATGCCCTGTAATATACTGTATATCTGTACTGTATGTGTTTATTGGAATTCTCTGGCATTGGAAGCCGTAGTTTCCAACTCTTCACACACACACACACACACACTCTCAAATAAACACTGGTGCTATTCCCAGCCAGTACTTGATTAATGGATGCTGGCCTCGCCAGTGGGACTTTGAATCTTCTGTATGACTGTAATGTAATCAGGCAGGACAGGTAGCCATGGTGACATCAGCCCCTGCTTCTCCAGGAAGAACGTAATCCATTGTTTCTATAGTTGCCAAAGTATTTTTATTAACACACCCAACTACCAGTAATGAATTCTGAGTTTATTCATTGAATTGAGTGCTTCAGTTTAGGGCTATAAAGGAAACCACAACCTCGTCACATCCCTCTTCAGAGTTTGCAGAAACGCTCTCTACAGATTAACATAGGCTGTTAACAAAATTGATTTTGCTCTTGTGGTTCACTCCTTGAATTGATGTATTTACTGAGGGGCTCTGTGCAGAACCTCAGAGGTTATTTCTGAGAAAACTACAGGACACTTCCAGTGTTGGGGAGTAGCTAGCTACAAGTATCAACGCTACTAACGTAACTAACATTTTCAGTATAGCTTGACAGTAGCTCAGCTACTTTTAAAACAATGTAGCTTTTCTAGTAGCTAACTACTTTTTCCAGCAAATAGCGGGGTAGCGCGACAATAGCTACATTCTATTTTGTGAACCTGCAACAGACTGAGCAGCGCTGCGTCTTCTTACAAGATCACATACTAAACCAGTGCATTACCGCCATCTATGTATATCACGCAGAATCAGTAGTAAATGATGCTCATCTCTGCAAGCGCTGTGAGTTTGAGTCGCTGAAAAAAACAACACGCGCCAAACATCTGCCCAAACTTAATGAAAAGTGTTAATAAACCTGATGTCCAACAAAAGAGAACATTTAATAACATGATTTTACTCCACAACATCAGTCAAGAGTTTGAAATAACTTTTATTTTCTGATCTGATGTGGCGTCTTATCACAGATTGAGGCAGAAAATATATTCTATACTGTAATAAAGACTATGTCGATTAGCAAATGGATTATAAATTTACTTAATTATTATGAAAATACCCGAGATGGCTTGAAGAACACAGATAAACCATATATTGTCGCTGTCGTGGGTTTGTTGTCTTTGTTTAATCAGTTCAAGCGTTTCTATATTCTTTTTATTCAGCGATAGCTGGATACCTTTGTCCATATTAGGGGGTTAAGGCTAGAAGGGATACAGCAAAAACTACTGGGCATGCGCACATCAATATAGCGTAATTTTTCTCACACTGTACAACAATAATTACTATTTTTGCATTATTGTAAGGGGTAGGTTTAGGGTTGGGGTATGTGTAGACTTTAATAAAACACAATCTAATAGGTAGAAAATTCTATTTATTGTTAGCTTCCGGTTTTTGCTGTATCCCTTCTAGGCACAACCATATTAGGGATTTCCTGGAGCATCATGAGTTCTATTACTTCTGTGATGCATATGTGGAGTTTCCGCGTGAGGGTGCCCTCTGGCTGCCAGTATAAATGAAACAGACATTACATGTTTTCAGCGCTTAGTATTGCGCATTCAGTCCTATTTTGGGCATAAATAGGAAAATGAACACCTCTCTAAAGAAACATAAGTAAACATATGATAATACATGTTTTTCTCCAGTGCAGAAGTGTACAGGGGTTGTTTTTCCCCACACAGTAGCTGCATTAAAGGCTCATACACTATTTCATATTAAATACATGGACTCCGTTTTTGATTTTACATACTTCCTGATAAAAATTAAGAATTACTGTCAAAGATTTTTATCATAACAGTATCATATGATGTACAGTTATAGGCTGCCTGTAACTATAACCCTGCCGTTTTTTGTAAAACAATAGTTTTCTGTAAAATAAAATTAGTATTGTTATCATGAATTTTTATCTAATTATTATATTGGGGTTTTTTTTATTTGTTTTAAAAAATAGAAGTTTAAAGTGACTATTTTAACCAGAAAAATCGCAGTTAGATTATTTTCCCCAAATCGTGCAGCTTGAACCACACCTGTTAGTGCTTTCCCTGTCAGAGCCGCAGGTGAGCGGTTGTTCAGAATTCAATATAATTTCTTGCCATATTTTTGAGAAAATGCTTCTGTGTGCTTAATTTAAACAATTTAAATAAAAATAACATTTTATTGCAATGCTAAATTTGTTGGAATTTTGCCCTTTGACTTTTGACAGTCTGAGATATTTAAATATTGTGTGTAATAAAACAATAGTCTTTGACATCATAATTGTATTGCATTGTTGTTTTAAATATCAAATATTTTACTTAAAGGGGTCATATGATGCTATTTTAAAGATCATTATTTTGTGTATTTGGTGTAACAGAATATGTTGACATGCTTTAATGTTCAAAAAACACATTATTTTTCAAATACTGTACATTATTGTAGGTCCTCTATGCCCCGCCTCTCTCGTTTTCAACAAAGCCCACACCACAAGCACGCGTCGGAAATGTAACGCCCCTTACCATAATCGCGAGCTTCAGCTTTCAAAGTATATATCAAGACAGTTAATAATGTAGTTTTTTTTTCCATCAGTTCAAGCCCGAAAGGGCAACAGAGTCGATGAGCCGTTTTAGGTAGGTGTGGTTGACTCTTAACTTTTATAAAGAATATCTCTTTGGATTTGAGACTTTAGTCTTTGCAACTTTACAGATCTTCTTTATGCACCAAGAGCTTGTAACACTCCAAAGAGAAAGGAAAACTTGAAATCGCATCATATGACCCCTTTAAAACATTCGTCATTAACACTTACTCAGTTATTTAATATACGACGTTGTGAAAAAAAAGTTTCAATGTAGCTAGCTGCTTTTCGGTAGTAATTTGTAGTGTAGCTAGCTACTTTTCCAGAAGGGTAGCTTGACTGTAGCTTAACTACTTTAACTTATGAGTAGCTTGTAGCTTATCAAGCTACAGTTTAAGAGTAGCTTCTTCCCCAACACTGGACACTTCCAGCTGAAACCAGCTGGAACTGCACCTGACAGCAGGTTGAATTAGGATGGAGGGAGGAGCGAAAGACGAGAGAAAGCAGGAGGATGAAGGGTGACCCGCTGAATTCCACCACTGACTGTTTTCTGTGCCTGGCAGGAGATTCCTCATTGTGTTTTAATGAATAAAGGAGTGGAATAATTCTTCCGCTTCACTACAGCTTGGACCCCTGCCCCCTGCATGTTCCCTTTTTTAATCTCCTCTCTTGGTGGGGTTTGTGTGCACATGTACAGGATTGCACTGGCACAGACTGGTTCTTGTCAATGGCTTCTTGCTCTCTCTTTTAGCTGTATTGCCTAACTGATTTTATATATACTTTTTTTAGCTGCATTATTTTTTAACAGTGCACAATTAGTTAGTGGATGTGCAAAGGCAAGCATCACTATTACTAGTGCTCAGATTTTTGTGAAAATTACACACTGAACACTTTAGCAACTGCAGAGCAAGAATTTTTGTTATGATTTAATGTAAATTAATACAAATAACAAATTTAAGAAAAGTAAATAATACTTTTAGTTATATATTATATTAAATGATTATAATTTATAATATTCTTTATTTAACAGCTATTTTTTTTGCAAAAAACATTTTCTGGTGGTTTGGCCTTTTGCGGGACTGATGGTTAGATTTCAATATCCAGTTTTGGATATAGAAACTCAATATTTTGAAGTAAAAACTTTTTGTTATAATTTAATTTAAATGATAAATAAATAGTGCTGTGAAATTATTAATTGCGATTAATCGCATCCAAAATAAAAGTTTTTGTTTACATAATATATGTGTGCGTACTGTATATTTATTATGTATATATAAATACACACACATGCATGCATATATTTTGAAAATATTTACATGCATATATGTATATTCATATAATTTATATTATTTATAAATATATTTAATATATAAACATAACATTTTTTCTTATATATATATGCATGTGTGTGTATTTATGTATACATAATAAATATACACAGTACACACACATATTATGTAAACAAAAACTTTTATTTTGAATGCGATTAATCGTTTGACAGCACTATAAATAAATAATTCAATATTGTATAATATTCAATTATTTTCTTTATTATTTATAATATGGTTGTTACGATCTCAACATCCAGTTTTTGAGAAGACAATTATTATTTTAGAAATGATTATTATTTACAATATGGTTGTTGTACAATTTGTACAATTTAATTTATCATTTAATATTACATATGATTTTAAACTTATTTAAGAGCTATTTCCTGGTGGTTTGGCCATTTGTATGACTGACAGTTGTTAAGATCTCAACATCTAGTTTTAGTGTAGAAACTCAATAAAAGCACAATCTGCATATGTTTAATGCACTGTCTTTCTCTCTCCTTCTCTATCTGTCTGCTGCAGGTGATCTTCAAGCGACCCGTGCTTTGATGATTGTGGGTATCATTGTGTCCATTGCCGGTCTTGGTGTGGCCTGCATGGGCATGAAGTGCACCACTTGTGGAGCTGATGACAAAGTTCGCAAGGCTCGCACGGCCATGACAGGGGGCATCATACTGCTAGTGGGAGGTGAGTGTATGTGTGAGCGAGATACTGAGACAGACTGTTCATGCAAGTTTACAGTGAACCATGTTTGAACTGCGCTTATATAACATCAGTCTTTGCTCAGTCTGTGGGTCAATGAACATCATTAAAAAAACAGGGTAGCTAATGCTAAACTAGCTAATGCTTTGAAGATATTGGCAAACAAAGAAAGATCTTCTGTATTATTATTTTTTTCTTTTAAACAGTTTCTGTATTTTGTTCCTACAGCCCTCTGTGCAGTTGTTGCCTGCTCATGGTTTGCCCACAATGTGATCCGAGCTTTCTACAACCCTTTCACTCCAGTCAACACCAAGTGAGCACAAGGAATTTTACTTTGCACAATTTCTGGAGCAGAGTGTCCAAACTCTGTTCCTGGAGGTCCCCCAAAAAGACACATTTTGGATGTGGACTACTTCCTTATCTGACACACCCTCTCAGTTCTTGGAGCACTTCTACTAGTGTTGTTAAGTTAAATTGGGTGGCTTCGATTATTGAAACATTAAAAAAAGTGCAGTGTTGGAAGCATCTAGGAACAGGGTTAAGAAACACTCTAGAACTTTGGCCAAAAGCAATTATATAGTAAAAACAAAATAATAAATAATGTATCATTTTCACAACATTTCCCATATGACCTTTTCTTTTTTTTTTTTTTTTCTTTAGGTTTGAGTTTGGAGCAGCCATTTTCATTGCTTGGGGCGGGTCATTTCTTGATGTTCTCGGTGGAGCCATGTTGGCTGCCTCTTGCCCTCGAAGTAAACAAGTGTCAAAATATCCTAAAAGTAACTCTGCACGGTCTGCCAGCAGCAACAACAAAGAGTATGTGTGACCAAGACTGCCCCCCACTGGACAGATACTGCACCAACTTCAGAAGGTGAAAAATTTCTTCAACAAAATAATGAACTCAATAATGAAGGTTGAACAGCTGTCACTGAGAAAGACAACAGTTTACAAACTGTCTAATGTCCCATTATAAAAAGGGCAATCAGTTGTCCAAAAATTCAAATAAATAATGTATTTACAAACTCTCTGGGAGTTTTGGAAATGGAGGACTGTAGGAATCTAGTGCCAGTACAAATACTCACAAGATAGCTTTGAGCCCTCAGTGTTTCAATGAAGAAAACAACTAGGTTGGTTTCTCTGTTTCAAAGAAGAGAAACTTGGGTAGTGGGTCATATATGTTGGTGTTTTCAAAGTGCCCACTAGGGAGCACTATAACCAACACAATAAGCAGGTGTTGCTCAAAATGGAGGCAGATTTTTTATTTTTAAGATTTGCTTGTTTTTGAGTATTTATCCCACCGAAATGCTAACCTTTTTAATACTCATTTGAGCCACTGTTATGTAATTTCATGTAATTGCAGAGGGTCAAAAAAGATCCTGAACATCATGGGTTTTTTTTTTTTCGTTTGCTTAACACATTGCAGTATTAACTCATGTTCATTTTATCATCCATGAGCCTATCTGAATATCTTTTACTTACAAAAGTTTCATGATAATGGCAGTATTAGTTATTGTTTACACACTTGTTTTACATGCTTATTTTCAATAAAGTTGGCTTTCATTGCATCAGGCTGGTTATTATTCCTGTGGTTGAAAAAGATAATCACATTCCAAAAGTGAATTTGCATTACACAAAAATACAGTAAATCTATATTGAAATCTGAGATTCAGAATATAATTTAAACATGGAAATATTTTTTTTTTTTTTTTAATTCAAAATTTAAAAAAGAAACCTCGATAAAGATCACTGATAAAATAGAAAATGTAATGCCAGTCTGCAATGTCCTAAAATTTAATTTTTTTTTAATTGTAAAAAAAAAAAAAAAACTTTTAGGGACGTCAAAATTAATGTGTTAATTGTGCTTTTTAAACATGGAAAAATTTTTTTTTTTTTTTTTTTTCAAAATTTAAAAAAGAAACCTCGATAAAGATCACTGATAAAATAGAAAATGTAATGCCAGTCTGCAATGTCCTAAAATTTAATTTTTTTTTAATTGTAAAAAAAAAAAAAAAACTTTTAGGGACGTCAAAATTAATGTGTTAATTGTGCTTTTTTGTTTTCTTTTTCAGTTTAACGTGTTAAAAATATTTAACGCAGCATCCATTTTTTCCTGCCATCCTTTGGCTAGCGGTATAGTAGACTGTACGAACACACAAAAGAGAACTTAATTCAGTACTGGTATGCTGTCTGTGAAGCAGCTCTCTGTGAACACAGGCATTTTATATAATGCTGAATGACTATAATTAATGGCTATAACTGGGAAAATGCATTTAATGGAGACATTTGTAGCAGTATTTTTATATTCATTAATAGGCCAGTATAATTGATGCCATTAAACACATTTAAAATATGCCATCTTTATCTTGTTTATACATTAATATTCAATTAATCGGGATTAATTAAAGGGGTCATATGATGCGATTTCAATTTTTCCTTTCTCTTTGGAGTGTTACAAGCTCTTGGTGCATAAAGAAGATTTGTAAAGTTGCAAAGACTAAAGTCTCAAATCCAAAGAGATATTCTTTATAAAAGTTAAGAGTTAACCACGCCTACCTCATTCAACACGCCCCCACATACCTACGTCACGATGTGGGAAGATTTGCATAACGCTGCCCAAATGTTCACGCAAAGAAAGAAGGCATAACTTTTATTCTCGCTGTAGTATTGTTGCTGCTGCCATGTCGTGAAGGCGCTGTGCGTTTCGTTGTGAAAGCGAAACTACTTTGTTTGGCCTTCCAAAAGAGGATGATATCCGCTTCGTCATGCCTGGAGCTGATCCGTGCTGGTTGCTGAGGGAATACATCAACTTCGCGCTGTGGATCGCCGGATCGGCTTTCACCGTGGACGAAGCGGAGTCCAGCCCGGGGTCATCACATGTGGTTGCCGCAAGCCCACCGGCCGCTCCTTCATCGAATCCGCCGGCCTCCGCTCACTCAAGGCCGCCATGTGTAACGCTGTGTTCTGTTGTGAAAGTGAAACTACTTTGTTTGGTCTTCCAAAAGA